TTTGCTCATGAGACAGTTTGAGGTAGGGCCCAAATCCATCCTCCATCCTTTGAAAACAGGGACTGTTTTCACTCTGTTTCTTGGGACATCCTCTCTCCTGTGTTTCCAAGTGCTCCAGACCACTTCAGCCTGTTCCTTAACTTCCACAAGGCCTTGCTGACACAACCAAAATAACACTTAGCTGTCTGCTTCCTTTCCTCAGCCTGCAGTCCTCTCATGATGTCAAATTCAATCTGGCTAAGCAGCTGATCACATTTTCTTCGTGGAAAGATGAAGCAAAGGCAGCTCTAAACGCTCCAGAGTTCTCTGCACTGTTACTTGCTCCCATTCCTGTTAATTAACAGACCTGGCTGCTCCTTCACCTTTTACTTATTATACATTTCCTTTTGCTAGCATCCATCCTCCTTACTAACTGAACATCTCTGTGCATCTCAGCCTTTTTGCTGTGATCACTGCAAGCCTGTGCTACTCCTTCACAGCTGTTCTCGGGTTCTTCCACTCCCTGTATGGCTCCTCTTGAATTCCAAGGTCATAAAAATATCCCTGATTCCACCAATATGATTCTGAATATGCTTCCTCTACTTCTTTTGCAGGAGGCTGGTAAGGAGTGGTGCACCTTGACCCTACAAATTCAGTGTAAAACATCCAAGGAGTTTCTGAATGGAGCAACTCACCTGCCTAGAGAGTGTTTCAGTGACTCTTGCTCCAGTGGGATTTTGGGGTTTTTAGACAGGTGTGGGTTAAAATTCAGCAGTTTCACCAGATCTGTAACAGCTGCAGAGCTGTTTGCTCCTCTTTATCAAGAGGGAGTGATCAGAAACACTACACTGAATGAAGCCATCTCCTGGGACACAGCCCAAGTCACAGGCTGCTAAGCATTTACTTTTAAAGCTGTTGCAAAGCTGTTGCCTGCTGTTGGCTGATTAAAACCCAGGCATGAAAAGGCTAAAATCCACTCACCAATTCACCTTCAAGTCAATTTAAGGAGCGAAGGTTTAGAAATTCACTGTTGTTTGTTTGTTTGTTTTAAATTAAAGCTCAAATTCACCTCAATTGATTTTTTCACTCTAAGGCACGGGGGAGTTTTTCACTTCACAAAAGCAGGGGCGTTACTCACGTCTGGTAATTTCATCATTTTCTTTGCAAATGGTCTGTTTCAGCTGCTCAATCCTCATCTTGCAAGACATTATTTTCCACCTCTGAAAAAAAAAGGATAATAAAAAAAAAAGAACATTCAGCAACTCTGGGGCACAGAAATTACTTCAAACACACCAGCTAATAATTAGCAACAAAGTCAGCAGCTTTAGTGCACAAGTAGCAGGATGCTCTTAAATGGATCAAACAACTAAATATTTCATACAGTGTTTTGTGCACAGAAGGATGCCACAAACAAAATGAATGCTTAGCACAAAGTCGATCAGTAAAATTAAGTTATTGAACACATATCTAGGGAGAAATGGAAAACACTGACAGTTTGGAGCACTCTGCTTGCAGGGCCAATTTCAGTTTTGCTTTCAACAGGCTTTTTGGGAAAGCAATACAAAGCCCCCAAGGTAAATTGTAACTTTAAGCTACGAGATCCAGGAATTCAGGGAGTTTAAAAACCGTGGGACACTTGGAGCAACTCACCAGCTGATCAGTTATCTCTTTCCCTTCCATGGCCTTCAAAACACTAGAGGAAAAAACATGATTGAAAGTTTTATGACTATCTGGACTGGGTCTGTCTCCAGCAACAGTGCATTTAGAGAGACTGTTCTGCTTTTATGAGAGTTCTTAGAGTTCATATTCGTTTAATAACTTCAACTTACTGTTTTTGGAATTCTCTCTGTTTGGTTTTAAGATGCATCAGCCTTTCTTTCTTGTCCGAAAACCTGGAAGAGATTAAACGCTTTTATTGATATTTTGCACAATACAACGCTTGTAAGTTGTCTGAAAAGATAAAAAGACCGAAGCTTGTGGGATTCTCCAAACCTCAACTATCTGTCTTCATCTTGGGAAGTCAATGGCTCAATGTATAAAACTCCTGCAGAGTTCTGGAGCATGTGTCTCACTGGGATTGCAACAGGACCTCTAAGATGAGGAAACATCAGTGTTGGATTAACAAGCTTGTAAGCAAATTACCACTGTATCTAGATTGATAGCTTAGAAATATCAATACTTTGAGTACTAAGAAAAATGCAGTACTCTAAAAACCTTTAGTAACTGGAGAAATTAATAGTGCTCAGATAGACCACATGGCTGCTTTCAGCTCTGCTTCACTGCATGCCTGAGGTATGGGAGCTGCAAAGAACTGATCAGAAAGGAATTTTTTTAGGATTCATCATCCTGTGTTTTCACCCTTTGAATATGCAGCAGCCACGTTCTGCCCCCCTCCATGTTCCACAGTGTCTTGGGAAATAGAGCTAAAGAAAATATGAGCAAGGCAGATGGAGAAATGACAACGAAGCAAGAAGTGACAAAGCTGAATGTGAGAGCAAACAGCAAAGGGGGGAGCCAAGAGTTTTAAACAGAAGCAGTGGCAAGTGTGCTTTGTCTCCTTGCGCTTGTGTGACAGCACCGTCCTGACCTGCTCCTCAAAACTGCATCTTGAGTTAAGCCCAGATATGAAAAACAATTCCTTCTACGTAGAATCGACAATTTCATCCTAGAGGATGAATTTGGTTTAATATCTGTGGATGTCCCATCCCTGGGAGTGTCCAAGGCCAGGTTGGATAGGGCTTGGAGCAACCTGGTCTAGTGGAAGATGTTCCTGCCCGGGTCGGAACAAGATGATCTTTAAGGTCCCTTCCAGCCCAAACCATTCCATGATTCTATGATTTTAACCTACGACCCAACGACCCTTTATTTCAGGGATCTTAATTTAGAAAGAACAACACAGTTCCACTGACAGAATAGCATCTTGGGCCTCCCTCTCTGCTCACCTGTGGGTTTGATTTCAGGTGAAACTTTAAATCGCTTCACTTTTTTCCTCTGAGCGCTGAAATCTGAGGGCTTGGTGGCTACCTTTGGGTTCAGAGAGCGTGTAATCACCCTTCCAGATGACATTAGCGTCAGAACAACAACAAAACCACTGGCTGCCGCTTCTGCAGTCAGGCAAAAATATCTGTTTTTTCCTTCCAAAACAAACCAAAACCAAACGCAGGTGCTTGGCAGAAAAGCCGGAGGCCACACGTGAGCCAGAGGAATGCAGTGCAACTGGAGCCCGGCTGCTCACCCCAGCTCTTCCTGTGTGTCCTCACCCCAGGAGTCAGCATGGGAATGACAAAAGGCACTCCAAGAGCCTCCTGTTTTTACCACAGGGCACCGCACACCTACTGCACCCCGACCTTTGGCTGCAACCGAAAAAAAAAAAAAAAAAAAAATCCCTTGGCCCAGAAACGCCGAGCTCAGCAGTCCCACAGCGAGGGAGCGCTGGGGTAATTTGGCAGCCCTTGTTTTCAGAGCTGGATTAACGGGCACTGAACAAAAAAATCACCCAGCTCACGTCCACCACATCAGCAAGAAGCTGAATGAACTGTCAAGAAGCTGGGAGGGAATTAAGTGCTTGCTGTGGAGGGGAGACAGAAGTATTTGTGAAAGCCTGTAAAAGTCACAGCTCGCCACGTGACGTCAAACAGCTCCTACCAACTTCTTCAGCAGGTTTCTCCCCAGGAAACATTTCCATTTCTTTATATAGCTCCCATCTTAATTGCATCTCATCGTGCAAACTCATTTTTCTTTATATATCTTTAGCCTTTCCATTTGGCACAGAAACCAAACTTCGGATGAACTATTATAGGAACTCCCATAAAATGTAAACCGAGAGGAGAGAACATCTCAAATTACCCATTAAATGCTTCTCTTTCCTCAAGTCTTATCACATTAAGCTGAGATTTTCTAGGGTTACCTGGCTTATTTCCACATGTTCATAATTAGGGAGAAGCAACCAGAAAGAGAGATTTCCTAATCCACAGGGAGTTGATTAATGCTGAAGGAGTCGAGGGCAGCAATATTACTGTACATATTCACTATAATAAAACTCCCTTGCTGTGAAAAGCCACTACTCCTAATCACAACCCACAGCTTAAAGAATTCAGACCATCATATTGTCTCTGGCTTTTGCCCTCTGCAGATACATAAAGCAAAGCAATTCAGCAGGTCTGTGAAACACACTCTGAGAATTTACCCCAGTGACAGGCTGGGGGGACACTCCTGGGAGGAAGAAGAGTCTCTGAGCTGAAACCATCACCAGGATGCCACCCTGGCTTTTGGAATGTGCAACACATTAGTAATGAAAAGAAGAATGCCAGCGATTATTTCACTGGAGGACTTGTGGACTACTCATCCTTAATTGTAGCTCTCCTTCAATAATTAATCTCAGCAGCATCTCAGTCTCTCCCCCCCTCACAGATTACAGGATGTGATTTTTACCAGACAGATGAAAAACTTCAGTTTTACTGGAGCTTCTTTTTTTTTTTTTTTTAAATTAGCACACAAAATAGTCCAGCGAAACCTGAAATAATTAGAACATGAACTAGTTTGTCTTACTACAAGAAAATTCTAAAAATAAACCACAGTTGGATACAAGGAGTGACGCTTGCTTTCTTTACTTTTCACTGGAAAGACAAGGATCCTTTTTTTCCCCCCAGTCTGTAACACTTAAAAAAGACAAATAGGAAGCCCAAATGCATCCTCCCCCCCCCGCTTCCACATCCTGAATTTTCTCACACCAGGTCACCCAGCAAAGCCCTTGCCACGACCCTGTCAGCCTCCTCCAGCACCAGCTGATCTAAAATTAACCCAGGCGCTACTAGAAGGCATAAAATAAACAAATAAATAACGACGGCAGCAAACACAACCCGAGATCCAGCCAGCTCACTGCACCTGTCCCTGCATGGCTTTGGTCACCGTGAAAAACGTCTCTCCCTCTTTCAGTGTTCACATCCCAAAACATTCGAGACATTCGGAGGGGAAACCAGGAAAACTGGCCTCAGAAGCATCTCACTCCTCCATCAGTCGTTCAAAATGTTAATTAAAGAAAGCAGACAAACTGTTTCAAGCACAGCTTAAAAAAAAAAAAATCTCATTATCTTCCAAACGCAAGAAGAAACCCAAGGTTTACAGAGCTTCGTGCCTGCACTGAGCATCCCCCCTGACATCAAGCAGGTCGTTCACGTTGTGCTACTCATATAGGTGTGTTGTTCCCTTAATTCATTAAAATAAATGTGCCATTTTCAACGAACGGCACTCCTGCAATTCATTCATGGAAAGTTCTGAGCAGGGGGAGGAACAAAGCCTGGGGGAAATTGAGTGTATAGGGAGGCCCCGGGATAATAAAATAGCAGTTCCACGGATGGAACTGTGATGTCCAGGCAGAAGGGAGGAATAAAGGCAGAGAAAATAAAGAGACTTAAATTCCTGCAGTTAAGGAACACAGGATAAATATACAGAAGATTTTTCTAGCCACAGACAAATGCAGTTAGACAGAATGCAGAAAATGCAGAAATGCAGAAAAGCTGATCCTGTGCCACATGAGAAGATATGAGGAGGATAAAGGGGTTTGTTTGTTTTTTTTCTTCCAATGAGCTGTTGCTTCTCCTGCTTTGGCTAAAGCTGCCTCTTTATGACTTCATTTTTCTGACGGGCAGAGAACTTCTTAAGCCTTGGTTAATACAGAACAACAGTGGTTTCAACTCTAACAAAGGCTACAGTTGGATTTCTGTAATCAAACCTGATGTTTAGCCAAAATCTTATGGTTACAAAAGAGGCAATAGAAAAAAAAAAACACCTTGGTTTATGTTCCAAACTCCAAATCCAATTTTTTTCATGGCAGCTACAGATAACCCCAAGCAGTTTCACACAGGTACAAGTTTTCCATCTATTCTGGAAAGACTAAATACAGCTTGTGGCTCTAGAATATATATAAAAAAAGAGAAAGCCCATCCAGTGGCAGGCTAAGGCCTCGGATTTCCAAGCTGACTCACGCTGGCTGACATCCTTCACCCACTCCCACGGATGTTAGTGGGAGAAAGACACCACTGTCCCCTTCTTTCTCGGGACGCAACAAGCCTTGGGATCAAGGGTGGCACCACCACAGCACACACTGCTTCACCACCACCCTCCCAAAATTAGCTCCAGGAATCACTCCCAGCAGCTGCTAACGAAGCCACCAGCGAAGGGCCAAGAGCACGAGTGTCGGCCAAGAATCAGAGCTATTCCAGTCGCGGGGCTGGAAGACTTTTTAAGAATCTGGGATGGCCACGCTGTGAACGACAGCAATGGAGGAGCCATCTGAGTCATACAATGAGAAAATTTGTTTATGGCCATAGCACTCATCCTCGGTGCTCCTGGAGGGGCAGGACAGCCCGTGATTAACTCAAGCAGAGGGGTTTTTATTTGTAATCCTAAAAGGAGGGCCACGGTTAGGACCATATAAATAGACAAGAAAGTGTTTAGTTCTTCTTACACACCTTTCCGATTTTGTCTAACGATGTAGAAAACCGCCAGCTTAAGGCGAGTTGCCGAAGACAGGTAACACGTTTGAAACAACTTAATGCGGGGGTATTTTTTTTATTCCCCTGAATTGTTTGGAGCTTCTGTGGCCACCCCGACACAGGCACACCTGCTGAGAGCTACACCTGACTAAGTGACAGCCAGGGCGATTTATCGTTAATTATTGTCACAATTATTATCGTCTTAATGGAAATAAAGAGGAACGCGCCGAGGGTCCCGCTCCGCCCGACCCCAGGGCCGCTCCCTCACCCCACACCCAGAGCCCCCCGAGCCCCATTCACCTCCCCCGGCCCCGGCGGACAACCCGGCCCCGCATCGGAGCTGAGGAGGCGCAGCCCAAGAGCCACCCGACCCCGGGGGCAGGGGATGGGAGCAAGGGGGTGTTCCCGTCCCCCCCGCCTCAGCGCCGCCGGTACCTCTCGGAGTCGCGCCCGTCGAAGAAGACGAAATCGCCGCTCTGGACGCACTTGGCGCAGGTGAGGCGGCGGCGCGTGGTGTTGCAGAGCGGGCACCGCTCCACCGCCACGTAGAGCCCCTCGGCGTCCTCGTCGGCGCCCCGCAGGGCCCCGGCCCCGCTCCCCCCGCCCGGCCCCGCGGGCTGCGGCCGGCGGCCGCTGGGAGCCGCCATGATGGGCCGCGCGTCACGTGGGGCCCTTGTTGTCGGGCAGGGGATTGTGGGGAGCGGCGCTGAGGCGGCGGGAGGGGAGCGGGGGAGGCAGAGCCGGGGGGGGCGAGCTCGGCGGAGAAAACGCTGCTTTTTTTTTTTTTTTTGGCGTAAACTGCGCCCTTTTTCTTCGGCGGGAGGGATAAAAAGAGCCCCTGCCCTGCTAAGCGGAGCGGGTGGGGCGTCGCGCATTCATCTGCATCACAGCCGGTCCCTGACAGCGCTGTGGGGACCCTGCGTGGCTCCATGCGTCCGTATGTCATGGAATGGTTTGGGTGGGAAGGGGCCTGAAAAAACATCTAATTCCAACCCCCTGCCATGGGCAGGGACACCTTCCACTAGCCCAGGTTGCTCCAAGCCCTGTCCAGCCTGGCCTTGGACACTCCCAGGGATGGGGCAGCCACAGCTTCTCTGGACAACCTGTGCCAGGGCCTGCCCACCCTCACAGGGAAGAATTTCTTCCTCATATTCAGTCTAACGCTCCCTCTGTCAGGGTGAAGTCATTCCCCCTTCTGTATCAAATGGGAAACTCCAGGAACATATATGTGACAGAGCCCACATAAGCCAGAATAGCTTCAAGCAATATTCCAAGTAAGAGCTTCAACACTAATGTCAAAACATGCCCTGGTTGTATTTTTTGGTGTTTTGGGTTTTTTTTGTTTTGATTTGGTTTTCGGTTTTGTGGGGGGGGGGTTGTTTGTTTGTTTTATTGTTTGTTTGTTGTGGGTGTATTATTATTTTTAAATTTTTATTTATTTATTTATTTATTAATAAAGAGAGTCCCAGCCTGTATTGTTTCCCTTTCCAAGTGTTATCAAACACTAGCAGGAACGGCACTATGGAGGTTGATTTGCAGACAAGAGTTACCACAGCAAACATTAAGTTAATCAGCAGTTCAGTGAAAAGGCGCTATATCCGTGCTTGCAAAGAGCACTAATTTTACCAGTGAAAACACGTGGCAAGCTCTTGGGTAAAATGTGATTCCTTGAAGAAGGCTCATCTTAGATAAGCCTTTTTTTTTTTTCCCCCAGAATCCAAATAAAACCAGGTTGTTTTCACTTGCACAATATTATTGTAAGTCAAGTTACAATGCAGCGCAGATGGAAGTCCAGCCCAGAGCTGTGGAAAGTCTCCAGCGTCAGAAAGCAAACAGAAAAGTAAGCCTATGTTTAAAATAGATTTGAGTGTGGAAATCCCCAGTTCAGCAGTGACACAGAAGCTGATAACAGTTAAGACCAGTTTATCATGAGGAAGTGCACAAGGTTTTTCAAACTCTTTCCCAGAGAAGCAAAAATATAGTTATAAAAGAACTTGTCAGAGACAAAGAACAGACACAGAAGATGCAGTCACACCCTCACCAAATCAGAAGTAAACTTGTGACAGAGAAACTAAACCCAGGAAGGCCCTGTTCTGTATTGAGCCATAGCCCTTATTGTGTAATTCCATCAAGGACAAAGGTAGCTTTTGGCCTGGGTTGCACTTAAGTCATCTAACAGCAACCTCTAGTGGTGTTTCCCAACAGATATCACATCTTCAGGAGGAAAAGAGGGGAGGACGCAAGACAAACTGCTCTGACTTGCTTCCAGGGAACCGTGGAAGGTTCCAGAACTACCGTGGGATAGTTTTTGCACTGTTCTTACTCAAATCGCCATTCTGAGCAGGACACCTTCTGAAAATAACTGCTTGAGTTCATTTGGAGATAAAACAAAAGTACAAGAAACCCCGCAAAATGACCAAATTTTATGTAATGCCATTGCCTGAGCTCTGGTTAAATAATACAGATAATGAAGTCTTGAGCATCCAAGGCTTTTTGTGTTTTCCTCAAATCCATTTTTAAGATGTTCTTGTCTGCACCAAGCAGACTTCCCATCGTTTGAGGGGACTTTAGTGATACAAGTGGGTACCATTCCGTTAAAAATCTTATTTGTGTCATGTCAAATTAGATAATTTAATTAGTTACCCCTCCACCCACACCCTTTCTAGGTATAGTCCAGCAGCGAGGGCTTTGAAAGTCTTCTCTGGAAAAGGAAATCCTACCCCGTCACACACAAGAATTTACCCAACCAGTAGGATCAGAGGGATTCAGGACACGTCCTCTAAACACTGAAGTAAACTCATGCTGGATTTTGTAAGCTGTATTATGGACAATAATATATTTTGAGGTTAAACATGAAAATACAAACAATGCAGGAGCAAGGTTTCAATGCACTCAGAGCTGAGGATTTTGACAGAGCCAGTTTGGAGTGCAGGGTCAATTCACCCATTCAACAGGCAAAGAGAAATGTTTCTATTACGAAATACTTATAAATGCCACCTTAGTATGCCTTCTGTTAAAAGTACATTCATTTGGCAAGTCTTTCACCTTGACAGAAGTTGCCAGAACTCAAGTGAATCGCAGACAGATACCGGAGAAAGAAAAGAAGATTCCACAAACTACAGAAAGGCATCGGCACTTACAACATTCAGAAATCCATCATTTGCCTAATGACCCACAACTGCACTACTGGGTCCAGGAAAACCCTTGGCTGGTGTTCCACGCACAGTAATACAAACCCAGTCATTGTTCTGAATTGCTTTATGAGCCATGTTATGATGGTTTCTGGAAACCTTTTAGGATGGGGTAGATGTTCTCAAACGCCTCGTAGATTTCGGAACGGTCTTTTGCTCCTGAAAAGACATTTATTATTAAAAAAAAAAAACAAAAAAAACCAAAAAACCCACACCAAAAATTAACAGAATATTGAAAATATGGTAAGATCACAAACCGTGAGGAAACCCAGGGGTTTAAAAAGACATTACTGTTAGTTTTAAGGAAGAATTTCTATCATATTTCTGCCGCCTCAAAGAACAATTTCCAGCTTGCTTTGCTTTAAGGTTAATTTTGTTTAATCTGCGGAACTAAAACAGCAATTTTCTGCTCTTGACAGGTGAAAAACATTGGCTTTGAAGGAGGAAAAAAAGCAACTGAACCACCAAGGTGTTACCTGCTCACGACTAACAGCTCTGCCTGTTGAAAAGGTAGGTGGAAGGGTGGAAACAAGAAGTGAAGGGGCATTTATGCAATACTGGAAGCTGATCCACAGTTTGCTTCTCAGAGCTGGAGTAGAAGAGTTGTCATTCTTTTTATTAAGCTATGTTAGGGCAACCTGTGATTCCAAAGCTTTTTCTGTGGCACTGCAAGCAAATCTTTACTACCAACTCTTGCATTGCTGTAGGCAGGAACATTCCTTGCCACTGACACTTCTCTATCATCAACTACAGGAAAACTGCGTTTAAATGAACTACAAGTTGGATTAAGCCCCGCTCAGGTTGAATGTTTAAAACCCCTTTCCTCACGTCCTCACTTGGGCACAAGTAATTGAATGGAATGGAACCAGCCACTCTGATTTTTCTGTGCCTAAGAAGGGGGTGGACATTGGAGGGGGAACTTCTGGGAACAAGTACCATTTACCTTTTGGAAGCATTTTCGTGAGCTTCACAAAGAGAATATGTTAGAAACTCAGGAATTCACCTGTTGGTTGTTTTTTTTGTTTTGTTTTTTTTTTGGCCTGGGATGAGGTACAGGTACCTGAGCACATTTAACTCAGCAAGGCTGTTGCCCCACGAGTGTTTTTGCCAAGCAGTCTGGAACAAGTTTTTAGATCTCCACCCTTTCCTCTGATAATCCCTACTAAATGGTTGTCAGTGAAGTGTTTTAAGAAGTTTGCTTCCTGTCCAGGCAATTTTAAATTGCTCATTGTGAGGTTCCTGTTTAAGTGCCTGAGTAGTTACAGCGTGCCAGCATCCTGTTGGCATTGACATGTGGCATCATGCTTTGAATAAAATAAAAATACTCGAGTAATACGGAAATCTGAGACTCCACATGAAGCAATAGGAGATTCTAGAGCAACAATACTGATATTATCTGCAGAAAACACAGATAAGCAGCAGTAGGCATTAATTTAAAAATTCAGTAAGAGGTTTTACTGTGGCAAAATACTAATTTAATTTTTAGCTAACGTTCAGTTTAAATGCTCTTTCAGAAGACAAAGTAGCACTTGCCTACAGATGGACACATATATATACAAATATACACTTACCAGTCAGTACAACTTTTCCAGACACAAAGATAAGCAGCACTATCCTTGGTTTGACCATCCTATAAATGAGGCCAGGGAATAGTTCAGGTTCATAGCTGTTTCAAAGCAGGCAGGTGAGATTAGTAAAATGCAAATGCTGTTTCAGTGTTGTATGAATAAAGTGCTCCTTAAGTGTATTAACAATAGAGTAATTAACCCCACAGATTTTAGATAGCTACTCAGAGAAAGGCAGGTTGGGCTTTAGACATCTTGAAGAGAAACCTCCTAATCCCAGCTGGAGCTGGGGGGGAGATCATCATGCTTGCTTTTAAAGATTTCTGAGCCACTCCTGATTTTCCATGGCATTGAAAACTTTATTGTAACCTTCAAACAGTCCCCAAATCACAGAATCACAGGCTGGTCTGGGTTGGAGGGGACCTTAAAGATCACTTAATTCCACCCACCTGCCATGGGCAGGGACACCTTCCACCAGCCCAGGTTGCTCCAAGCCCCGTCCAACCTGGCCTTGGACACTTCCAGGGATCCAGGGGCAGCCACAGCTTCTCCGGGCAACCTGTGCCAGGGCCTGCCCACCCTCATAGTAAATCCTTCCCAGTCTGCAAAGAGCCCTTGTAAGGAAGCATCTTCTACAACTGAGATGACAGCCAAGCATGAATCTTCAATATATATATTTAGCTCCCAAATTACATGCAAACTATTAGATGCAGTGCTAATAAAAGACAATCCAACCGTGATTTTGTCAGTGCTGAGATCTTCATCCTTTCCTCGGTGATGGCAATAAGTAGTTTTGAACAAGCCCACCTGGAAGGCACAGCATGCCCCATCCCTCAGCCCCAGGTTCACTTTAGGCTGGTGGTTATTGAAAGGTTCCCAGTGGAGGGAGGG